CATGGACACGCGAATTCGGTATTACTGACAAGAAGAATTTGGGGTCACCGCTGCAGGCAGCTTTCAGCAAAGCATCGCGGTCCTCGGGACGTTTCGGGATCGGCTTGCAAAAAGCGTGAGGATCTACCTCACTGATATCACCTGTCAAATAGAGGTGATGTGCAGTTATCGTGCCTGGGCGAACATTAGTATAGGAGCGCATCGGGTTATACGATAAAGAGCTGTAAAGAAGATGCTTGTGAAGAGCGTACCGGCGACTGTTGGGCTGCAAGCTCGCACAGCGTCTATAGCTGCCGCAGTAGAGCAATGCTAGATACCTGATGTTGGCATGCCGTCCGGCAATCTACTCGACGCAGATACTCACTTCAAGGATAATGTGGAGATTAGGAAATTTCTCGTTCAGCCTTTTCAAAGTGGGCAGGAATAGCTCTTCAAGGGAGATGTCGCCATTCGGTACAGTTCCAGGCACCTCTCCATGTAAGTTCAGCACGATGCCGTGCTGTTCCATGGCTGCGAATGTCGGCGCATAAACCTCAACGAAGTCCCCGGCTACGCCCGATTCCGAGTTCGTAGTCACGCCTATGGAGATGTCAATACCATGAAATTTTAATCAAGAAATAAATTGGGCATCGTGTTTGGCACCTACCTTGAGGGTACAGCTTCACTCCTGCAATGCCAGCTTTTGCAGCCTCAGCAATCACATCAGGGGTAACGGAAGGATGAAGCTAATTGTGGTGAGCCAAGAGGGTCCATCCAATCCCGGGACAGGCGGCGCACGTAGAGGGACATCAGATAGTTGACGTCTGGCTCGATGGCTTGCAAACGCGACTTGTATTCCAGAGCAGCGGCCACACTTGTAATGGGTGGCTGCAGATTAGGCTGTGAAGAACAATCAGTCCAATGCTAGTAGGGTAGGAGATATCAGCGACTTTTGGGTTTGCTTACCATAACAAACACGGTGTCTACGCCTCCTCTGCGAATATACGGGACAACCAGCTCCATAACCTGCACAAGTCACATCATGTTAGCTGGGTTGGGGCGGGATATAGGAATCCAGGAGCCTGATAGACGGACCTGGTCCTGTCGCAAATGGACATGCATGTCCGCCGTTGGCGGCAGTAGCAGTCGATGGACATCCTTGAGTCTCATTTTGAAAACGCAGACGAGCACGGCAACGCGTCGATAAAATATAAGTCTCTTTGACTTTTCTGGCTAACAGAAGCTTGATCGTGTTTCCTTTCTCCTAAAAGGCGATATCTCTGCGCGTCTTCGGGCCCCTCGATGCCCCTCGATGCCCCACCTAGATTCACTTATCTAGATAACCGTGTGATAAGGACTACGAATGAAATGAGCACGTGATCTTCGGTGCCAATACCTTGTGATGGGTACTCCTCAGTTACCTTGTCAACTAAGGGTACTTAATCGACTGCAACATTGAAACCGGCTCTTTGGGTAAACCATGGTACTGCATAATGCAAGAGGTGATAGTGTGCAATAGTCAGCCACAGTCACAGTCTGTATCCGCCCAGGAGGGTCGTAGTGTAAGGCGGGCAACTCCGGCCACCTGTTGCCGGAGTGACAATCGACAAATACGTAATGGCAGCCTTAGCTACCTCGTTGATCGCAGCCATCCGCGATAATATGTAAACGGATTCCTGCCTGGGTCAATCAAACAACTTTCTATCCACTCCGTGTATATAAGTAGGGGGCTAAGTGCAGTAAAGACGGGAATCTCTGAATATTTTTCACATGGGCCGGTGATGTCACCGGGTAACTCCGTATGACAGGTATATCAAGGGAATTAATTCCCTCCAAGATTGAAGCGGGCAGTCCGTAGGTCCCGGAGGGAGTATATACTTTACTACTATATTAGGCATAGCTCTCTCGGTTCAGCTACGAGAAGCCGTCAAGGTTATTGGTCAGGCACAGGAAAATCAATCTGGATCTGGACTAGGGGCGCGCCTCCCCGCTACGTTCAGGGCCTCAGTGGCTCTCCGCGCTGGAAACGCCGTCAGCTCAACAACTGCCCCACACCTTCAGCGCTTCGTGTCTCATTGCGTCTCCGTGGCCGGCCGACCTGGATTTGTCTTTTTTTCCCCGCGACTTTTTTGTTTGTTCGGTTTGAACTTGTAATCCGCATATCACCGTCGCTAGACGACAGCTATACGGATTCAAAGCACCATGGCCTCAATCATTCTCGGTGCCCAATGGGGTGAGTAACCTTCTACCACTGCCCAATACTCGACGTCGGCGCATACCGGTGCCAAATTTTGGAGGGGCAGTCATAGGATCACCGAAGTCAAGCGTACCTCGATTTCACTCCCTGAGCTGTATTTGAAATTGACTCAATCCGTGCACAGGCGACGAAGGCGTACGTTTGTGCCCACCTAGGCCCTGACGGACTTCCTACGGGCTGATAAGAGTTTATTAACCGTTTCCTGTAAATATAGAAGGGCAAGTTGACGGATCATCTCCTGGCCGCGAATTCGTTTGATATCTGCGCACGTGCTGCCGGCGGTCACAATGCCGGCCATTCGATTCAGTATGGGAAGCATGTTTTCACCCACGCGTTCGGGTTTCGGCTGACAAGTGTTGCTCCATAGCATCGGCTCGCAGAAGTTCTCCTTCCATCTTTTGCCGTCCGGCCTCATGAGCCCGGATACGGATAATCTGATTGGGTCGGGCGTCGTTTTCAATGTCGATGCCTTTTTCGGAGAGCTAGCCGAACTTGATGCCCAGGGCGTGCCCAACATTCACAAACGAATTCACGTCAGTTCACGGTGCCACTTGAACCTTACCCTACACGCTGCTGTCGATGGGCTTTCTGAGCAGGCGCTTGGCAAAAGCCAGATTGGAACAACCAAACGAGGTATTGGCCCGTCCTACAGCACCAAAGCCGCCCGAGATGGCTTGCGGGTGAACGACATCTACCGTGACGATTTCGCCACCAAGTTGCGCACGCTAGCAGCGGGATATCGCGCTCGATATGGCGATCTCCTCCAGTACGATGCTGAGGAAGAGGTCCAGAAATGTGCGAATGTCAAGGAAAAGCTACGGCCCTACATTGTAGATGCTGTAGAGTACATGAAGGCCGCACAAGAGAAAAAGCGATCAATTCTCATCGAAGGTTCCCAGGCTTTAAGTACGTCAAACCTAAGGCCGGCTGTTATTCCCAGTCTAGCTAATAATTGCTGTTTGCAGTGCTTGATCTGGACTATGGCAGCTACCCCTTTGTGACATCGTCGAGCTGCTCAATCGGCGGTTGCATCCAGGGTCTAGCACTCAGTCCCTTCAATATCAAGTAAGTATAAAAATACTTTACCGACATCTCGCCTACTACCTCGCGCCATGAGTCTTACGTGCGTTTTACTCTATAGGAACATCATTGGTGTTGTCAAGTCATACGTAAGTTTGCAATTAACCCTCCAATCCTTCCGGCAGCTATTCTGAGATTATTTTGTAGACGACACGGGTCGGCGGCGGCCCTTTCCCCACGGAAGAACATGGGGAGATCGGCACGAAACTGCAGCACATTGGTGGAGAGATTGTATGTTTGACCTCAGTACCTTGTCCTCGGTTCTATAGAACCAAACTAAATGTTCCCACAGGGTGTTTCAACAGGTCGACAGAGGAGATGCGGCTGGCTTGACCTCGTGGTTCTCAAATACTCTGCCGCCGTGAACTGTGAGTGGCTTATGTTAGTCGCTCGTTCCTTATGGTCCAAACTAATAATGCTTTGACAGACTATACCACATTAAACTTGACCAAGCGTGAGTGCTACTTCCTCAGTGCACCTTGTTACGACCTGGTGGAAGAATTACTAAAGTCTTGCAGTTGATGTGCTAGATACATTTCCCACCATTCGGGTCGCCGTGGCGTATATCACGCCTAGTGGGGAGAGACTCACGAGCTTCCCCGCCGACCTGGATTTTGTAAGTATATGGGCCCATATCTTCATATTCACAACTCTAACACATTCGCCAGCTCGCGAAATGTACGCCCGAGTACATTGAGGTCGAAGGCTGGCAGTGTTCCACCAAGGGACTACGGACATGGTCCGACCTACCCCCTCGAGCACAGGCGTACATCGAGCTTATTGAGTCAGAACTAGGCACCAAGGTATGTTTTAAAACGTAGCATCCCGTCTGGTTTTCAATTACTAAATTACACAGATTGGTTACATCGGAACTGGAAGAGACCGCGAGGACATGATCATTCGATGACTGTAAGCGATATCAACTCGGTTCGGCCCAACTTTAGAGGAATAAAAAAGTATTTTAGAGGATAGAAGTGGCAAAGGTCCGGTTGATAGGCCTTCTTATCTCTTGTTTTGTTTTAGGAGAAGCGCTGGAAGAACGCTCATCGCGGCGCATGCAGTCAATAATAGCAAGTCTTGACTCTTACCGACGTCGGGTTCGGTCGATAGTCATCTCATTAGGTCGGGCTCATTACGATAAAATGCACAAAGTAGAAAAGTGAGGAGTTTAAGGCTACTTGAATTTGCTATGTGATGGCCGGCTGACCGTTTCCCAAAGTCTACGAGACGACTGTTGCCCCCCCCCCCCCCCCCCCAAAAAAAAAACTTTTTTTTCATTGTCAATTAGATTGTTCTCTCGGTAGCCGGGGCATGGCTAAGGGCTCGCTGAGCCTGTCGCTTGAAGGTCATGCATTGTAATTCGTAGTTTGATTCCAGGCTTACTATCTAGCAACCGTACCCCTATGCCCTCCGGAAGGGACCGAGAAGCTCCGGTGTCGCATAGCGGCGGTCCCCGGGAATAAAGGCAAAAGATGCGAAAAAGAAATTTCCAGCGTACGAACATCTTTGTGATTATCTAAGCCCTTCCGTGAAATGTCCGATACGTCTCGGTTGTTATGCGCCTTGGCGGCGTGAAAGAATGTTCTTTATAGAAGTCCGCTCATTTACACAAAAAAGCGTGTCTAGAAGAAAAAGAACAAAAAGCGAATATCCTGAACGGGCAACGGGCTTCCAAAAAAGGCGACTCTCGATCGGGGAATCGAACCCCGGCCACCTGCGGACTTTTCCAAGACTCCTAGATTCTCACTATCGTGAAGAACTGGGGAAGAATGAATGAGTGACAAGCAGGTATCCTAGCCACTAGACCAATCGAGATGTTCGGGATCTATCGTGAGGAGCCGGTGGATTTCGTGATTGGGACGTTGCTGGTCTTGGAGGGGCTTATCTTGCTGGGGTTTTGCCCCCTGTTGAAATTGGGTGGGGGAGGGTTCGTGTGTTTATCCACCAAGGATGAACCGGCTCGTCTTCAATTTTCTGTTAATTAGCGATGGCGGGAGACTTTATCCATCGCGTCGCGAAACAAGACCGTGAGCCGCGTACCTATTCGGTTGTTTCAGCGATATGAAACAGACTCTCCCTCAAACCATTTTCTGTGACATTATTGCTATTTCGAGGAGTAATTCTCACCGAGTAGGCACCACGTTCCTGGTTTGAATAGCCAGGGGTACCATCTCGAGCGGCGATGGCAGTCCCTTCTTGGCTCCATCACCATACTTGCTGAAAACATAGCGCTGGTGGTAGTCACGTTACTAAATAAATTCCCGGTCCTTTTGTGAAGGCATAGATCCAAGACGAAGGTGGTGGTACGCCCTTATTCGCGATCCATTCGTCGTGGAGGAAATCCTGCGTATCTCTTGATGATGCTTCTACGACAAGTAGCAGAAGCCCCGATGGTCGTAGGTAGGTACTCCCGTGTAAAGGAAATGCGAGAGAAAACAATAACGATTGTAAGTATATCAGTACCGAGATGCCTAAAACATGAATCCTCTTTTTTGTCTACGAAATTGTTCCAAGTCAATCGCCGTGTTTCACTTTCCCACAAGGTCTTTGTAAGGGAACTCGTTGAAAGGCCTCTTGGTTCTACATCCCTATAAAATGACGCCTTGCTCTTATGGCGACTACTCACATAGTCGAAGATCCCACTGGATATTCTCAAGTCAACTGATTTCAAGGAACACGAAATAAACAAACCAGAACGAAAGGCTTATTGACCGCCAAGCTAGATAGGCCACTAATATGTGTCGGGGATTTAAAGTAGTAATGCTCTGCGGGCATGGTGAAGCGCGCTTCAGTCGCCCATGCGGGCTGCAGTGTTCAGCCCCTCGAGGCCCGACCACAAGGCTCGACAAGCGGTGTCCGCCCTGTGAGGCGGAGCACGCGGCGCAAATGCGGCGGGATGAATTAAAGGCACAGCTTCTAACCGGTGCGCAGCAAACACCCGGACACACCGGCTCTCCGTTATCGCCTCACGCCGAGACCCGGACCCGCGGGCGGACTCCGTGGGACGGGGACATGGCTGAATCGGATGATGACCAGGGCTACCTGACGGACAACGGCATTCACGTCATCCAGAAAAAGTACGTGTCGGTCAACGGTCACGACGCGGTGATATCCTACCGCCTGCACATCCGCGAGGCCGATCCGCTTCTAGTGCGCAGCCTCAGAGAAAAGCGCGAGAAAAGGCTGGCGAAGCAGAGAGAAAGGGAACGGAGGCGGGCGAAAGACGGAGAGGACCCTATGAAAAGCCCGATGGGGCCCCTGCTAGAGGAACGCCTGAGGGAAGCTAGGGAAAGATTTCAGAAGGAATTATCCGAAGCTCCAATGCCATCGCCTCTCCTGGTCGAAGAGCATCACAAAGGGACGGCCGCACACACCCCGGATCCCGCGCGGAGGCCCGCAGCGAAGCCGGGACGCCCGCCTTTGAGAAGGATGAAAAGGGGCGCCCAAGTCACGAGATGTGTTGAAGACAAGGAAGAAGAGAGCCTTGATCTCTGGCAGACGCTCGCCGACGAGTATGATGACGCCGACGGTAAGACAACGCCGCGGAGAGCTAGGTGAATCGCCAACACTAACGTCCTATCTCCGGCAAAGTGGTGATACGTAAATGGTAATTAAGGGTTATAGGTATTTGGCAGAACATAGTAAATAAGACATTTGAGCTACCTCCTCCCAACCTCAGCCCCTTATTTTTATTTCATTATTCTTGTTATTTTTTTCTCTAATTTTCTACAGTTATCCATTCCCGTGTCAGACCCAAGTATAACCATATCCCATTGACATAAAACCAGTTCCGTATTCATTCATGACCGCTCATCGCCATCACCATCGGTGAACCCCTCCGGAACCTCCACCGGCCCCAATCGCTTCGCAACATCCTTGGCGCTAGCCTGCTTCTCCACCTTTCCCCCCTCAGCCCGGGAATCCCGGATGGCCTTCTTCGCCTTGTTATACTCCTTGATGCGCGCGGTGGCCAGGCGTCCCGCGCGCCGCCGGTCCGTCGGACACCGCAGCAGCGGGACCTGGATGATGGCCGCGAAGACGTCGAAGACCTTCTCCACGGGCACGCTATGCCGCTGCGCGACCTCCTCGAAGGGGAACTTCTCCTGGCACGTCTCCGCCACGTCGACGATTAGATTCGGCGACGGTTTGCGGTAGGTCGGCTGGATGAACGGCTTCGGCGGGCTTGCGGCCGCGGCCGGTTTGCTTACCGCGGGGGATTGCGGCTTCTTCGACGGGGGCTTTTGTTTCTCTTTCTCGGGCTCTTTTCGTGGGGACGGCGCTGCTGCTGCTTTATCTTTGGCCGGTGGGTGTTGGGGGTGAGGTGGGAGCGGCGCGAAGGGGTTGTTGCTTACTGGTACCATTACTGGTGCGAAGTTCGGGGTGAAGTGGTGCATGTTGCTTGTGGGCATGGCTACTACTTGCGGGTGCATCTTTGCGCCGTACGGCGGCGGGCAGTGTAGCTGGGGCATGAAGTGAGGCGGGACACCCGCGTTCATCATCGGTATGCCCTGTGCTCTCGAGAGTTGGGCCTGGTGTCTCAAGCGGGTGCAGGCCTGACATGGCTGCTTTGGCGCATGAGCTGGGCTATTGTGATTATGACGGTGAGTTTCCGATGTGGTCGGGCTGCTTTCTGGACATGGTATATTTTTGGAAGCCTCGGAACGTTGTTGACTAGGGTTAGGCGGAGGTGGAGGCGGAGGAGGCATTGGTGCACTCTTTACACAAGCCCCCTTGACGTGATCGGAGCATGGCTTGGGATGGTTTTTCGAGTTGGCTAGTGGCCCTTGACTGGAACCAGGTGTCGTCTTCGTCAAGTTGGGTGCCGTTACTGGCTTCTCGGCTTGGCGGGATATACGGCTTGCTCTTGAACAGGCTACTGGCGAACTTGATGTCGTCTGGTGCCCAGACACTGGGGGCTTATTCTGATCGGTTTGGATGTTCACTTCTGCTGGAGGGATTTCCGTCGGGAGCTGCTTCGGTGAGAGCTCGGGAGGACTCAAAGGCCGAGGCTTGCGAGGAGGCTGGTTGAGCACGAATTTCTCTAACACCGGCATGGACACCCCTCTCAGGGCATATGTGAGCTCCATTGCGTGGAGGTCGGATGGCAAGCCGACCATTCCCGTACTTAATCGCCGTTCTGCGTCGCGTAAGTCGCTTTCGACCAGTTGCATTTGTGCCATAGGGATGTTGGGGATAACAGTAGTAGCAAAAGGCATCATTGGTTGTTCAGTCATGGGGGCTTCGGGCTGTCTCTGGCTCGTTTTGCGTCTCTTCACGGGCTTCTCAGAGATGAACTCGATGTCATCATCGTCATTGTCACCAACAGGTCTTTTGGGTGGAGTTACAGTGTTGACAAGGTGATGCTGGCAGCCATGGTGATGATGAGGGTGACCTGGTGCAGGAACTGGCATCAATTGGCCTGGGCCCTGGGGAGTAAAGTATATGGGCATCATATTGTCAGGCTGTGTACAAACAGAATCTGTGGTCAAGATGTCAAGTTATCTCGCCCGTGGGGCCCAGAGACAGTGTCTGGGCTATTTGTATAAGCTGTGCGGTCCTCCCAATGTGCTTCTCTGGGTCTGGCAAGGAGCTAAGACATGAAAAGCTCGGAAAGGTAAAGACAGCTCAGGATTTGTCCATCTGTGGCATGGCATTGCGGTCCTTTCACGTACACGCGCATCTGCATCTGAAAGCCAGAGCAAAGAAAAGCTCACCCGCTAGCTTAAGGAGGCTTTGCTGGTCCTCGCAAGGGGGAGCGTGAGCTTGGGTTTTCGACGCGGCAAATCTTGGCACCACCGCACACAGGCCTGCTCTGTCGTGGCTGAGCTGTCGTTATTACTGTTGTTGTTCCAAGATGAGCAGGCTCTCATGTGTGATCATATCCGGCAGGAGTCCGTATACTCGTTGCCTGGTAGTGTGAAAAGTGAGAACCTCTAGCTTTCACCAAAGCGGCCTGCTGGGTAATAATGAACTCAAAGGCCGATGGGACAGTAATGCCTACCCACACATGAGGATGCCACAAGTGAAGTCGTTAAATATTGACTGGTGTACAGTCTGTATAGATTCGGGTCTTGACAGAGAGTCTGCTACTATATGCCTGTAAGTACACAGCTGGTCCAACCACAACGCCATGAAGCCATTATACTACCGGCCATTCAGCAGTCATTGAGAATGCTTTGTTTTGTGGATTATTCTGGTGACCTTGTTATAGATGGTCTTAACTGCTGTAGACCTTGTAGCTCAGAACCTGTGAGAGCATCGTGGCTTTGGAGTAGAGATATCATATTCATCGAGACAAACGTTTGACTGGCGAGTCTCTTGTGTGTAAAGGCCTTGTAGCATCGGAGAAGTGTATGATCCGTTACCAACTCTGATATGAGGCCGGTATAGGACCATTCTCTTGGTAAGACATAATGCGTTCCCTTTGGGTCAGCTCACAGCACGGCTCGGCCAGTCAGGGGCAGCAACTGTCTATAACGCCCTGTTGATTTGTTTGAAAGGGGTTTGCGGCCGAATTATATGGTTGGCTGTACGATAGTATAGAGTGGTGATGTCTGTCAATTGTAGGTTTTTAGATAGGTGAGGTGGCCCGGGGTTGACAGTTAACATGGCCGGTAACGAGCCGAATGTGCTTGTTACGGTATTACGTCACGCAACTCGACCGTCCAGTATCTTGAGGTACCTACGTCCGTACGCGATTCCACTAAGGCCCCTAATCTCCAGGGCTTGTAGGTGCACGGTCTTACCGCGTAAAGTCCACTGCGGGGCACCCGCTTGCCCCACTACCGACACTCACATCGGCCGTCAAGGAACCG